CTATGTTGTTTTTATGGAAATTATTTAGAAATGTCGTAGTTTGCTTGTTTGTGGATATATTTTGATCAAACTTGGCAAATTGTTTTATTTTATACTAAGCTATTAATATTTTACTATAAAGCACACTTTATTAGTTTCCATGCACCTAGGTACTCGTTAAACCTAATGTTATTCAAATAGATTTTATTCAAAATCAGTTCAGACGAATGGAAATTCGCTAAGTCTGCAGGTTTGCTGCAGAGGGGGGTATTATTGTCTATTACAGCTTTTTGCTACTTAGCTCAAACCAGTTGGCGTTATAAACTAAACAAAATAATAGTGCTATACAGTTACTACTAGGATAGCTTTCATAGCAATGAAAGCCAGTTGAGCGGAACAATCATGTTTCATGATTTTTAATAAACCAATAAATGAAAAAAGTGTATACATTAGAAATGAAAGTAAGGCTTTCTGTACTATAATCTGTGCAAGGAAGCCCACTTTGTCGGGTGACTGTAGGAAAAATAAATAGAATAGTCGGTTTTGACATGAGCGAAAATGTAAATAAAACATCTGATCTGCTGTTTTAGGTTACGGGTTTTATTTGGTACGTACTGTATTTAGGGAGTAGGCTAATAGCATCAGCAATAACTCTAAAATATAGTGCATAACTCTGCATAAAGTGCGTACTTTAAGCACTTGTGCAGTAATTTAACATCTTCATATTGATTTATGTACGAACAGTATTTTTACAATGTAAAATGTACTGCTTTTCGATTAAATAGAAAGTTTGGTAATCGTGGTTGGATGGGAAATGCCTTGTTTTGGGGCACAAAGACGAGGAAAAGTCAATTTTTACAGTTTGGACTTAAAACTGATTTGACTCAAACACCGCTTGAGAAGGAAAATAACATTATTTATAAAAGTTGTAGACAATTTTATTCCGTGCTAAGATTTACGATTCCATCATTGGTTCAACTAAAATCCGGATTACACGACCCGATCTCGGAACCCTTAATCAGGCCCGATCGACGTCGGCCCTGAAATCCGACGTGTAAACCCGTGCTCCTGCTCCTGGCCATGATCGGTGAAAATCGCGAGTGTCATATGAGATTTCTGCCGACCAGGTGGGAGAACATTGACGGTCGGGAACTGGTCTTCGTACCCATAGAACTACCCGGACTTTTGTCTTTACATTGTCGAATTCCACCGGAAATAGCTTCCCCACCTAAACACCCTCTAGATCTAGACATTTTTTGAACCCCTTAAAACTTTTTTAAGGGAATTTGATCATTCTATGTCGTATATTTTAATTTTTTTTAGATATAAGTAATTGATCATCTGTCAAGTCAGGGGTATTTGCCCTTTATAATAAGTCTGGAGAGGTGATGCAGATACACTATTCCCATGGTACTGCGCGTTTAACATGGGTTTTATATGGGCAATTGGAGTTTTTGGTTAATTACTATAAAACGACCAAAGATAGACAGTAGGTTTACATTTAAAAGTTGTTTGTTTTTACAAGACCTTCAAAATGATACACAATTTTACACATGTTGTCATTTAAAAATTTTCATTTACAAGGCTGCCAACTAAACAAAATTAAAATCACTGAAAAAATATTTAGTTTTTTAAATGTTGACTTGTCGTATATCAAATTAAATCTGAAAACACGAGAATTAAAACTTTTCAAACAGAACGAAAATAAGTTTAGTGGTTTCCAGTATTCTGTAAATATCAATATTTTCCATAAAAATGGCCACCATTTTGAAACGGACAAAGATAAAGGAGTTCTGTTTTCACTAAATTGTTTTTCTAGTCTAGAGCTTTAAAATGATGCATAACATAGCATATGTTTACTTTTGAAAACTCTTGAGATTCGAACCCATGACCCCCAGTTTCTCGAACACCCTGTATTTTAAAAATGGTAAAACTATTTTTACGTTGTTCCTTGGGCATGAATTAGTGGGGAAAGGTTTTGTTTCATCTCTGTATGTCAAGCCGTTCGTCTGTAATCTGTTTAGGACAGCTTAGAAGACTCACCCTGTATAGGCCTACATCTATAAAGATACCTGCCTAAGGGCGGGCCTAAACTGTACCATAATCGTGCATGGCTGCATACAGACTGATCCGCGGTCAGAGGGTAGTTTTGGATCATTCAAACTGACCCGGGGGTCTGACAGGTAGATAATAGGGTCGCTTGAAACATGTGATCTGACCCGCGAGTCGTTGTGGGAGGGCGGGAAATTCTCCAGACTTCTACGGGATAAATAAGTTGAGCATCAGACTAAGTATTTCCTTATACAACCACTAATATGATTTAGCCTAATAGCTTATTTTAGCAATTTGGTTGATTTGGCTTAAATATTTCTATCGTATTTTAAAATCTTTCACTTAGTAAAACTAATTGTTATTTAGTACAAACCAACAGAAATACATCAATGATCATTTATATTGCGATAGGGTTCTATTGAGTTATTATAACTCACTCTATGTGTTAAACGAACTTTGGAGGTTTTTTGTCATTTTAATCTTTGTATGTTATTTAAGCTGAGCTCAGTGTGTGGTGAGTGCTTCGCCCCAGGGCTCTCAAAGCGTCTATGTTAATCTTATAGAATGCTAACATTTACGTGAGATTTCACGTGTATTACTCTATTTGTTTCAGTGTTCTTTATACTATCCTTAAAAATAATACATCGATTGTGGTAAATTATTGTTTTGTCTGTTGTTGCTTTCTTAAATTTAAAAATGTAGTTTTTTATGGTTTATAGGATATGGTTATGTATTTCTTAGTTACTGTAAGCTTTTTATGATAACAATATATTTGTTTTTAAATTGGTACGTAAATTGGTACGTTTCATTACAATCTGTCAAGCGGTTTCGGAGGTCATAAAGGACAAACAAACAAACAAACATACATACATACATTGGATTTTATATATAAAAGTGTTTAAAAGACTATCGGCAAGCTACGCGATACCCATATCAAAATACAATGGCGATTATAAAATTATTAGTGGGAGGAATATTTTATACTATTCAAGACCTACATACCTACCTTGTTCGGTGTGTATTTAATAAACAAACACTCCTGAATGATGTAAAATGCTCTAAGATCATCTTTAATTTTAGTACAATCTAGACAAATCTGGAATATTATTTCTAGAGCATTCCAGATTAATTACTATCACGCACTTCCATAGCTAATAAATAAGACCTCATAGCTATAAGACCTCCTAGAATATTACAGATCGTTTTAGAAAACCATAAAATATTGAATAAAATTTAATATTTTCATATACACGCATATTGTAGGCCTACGCTGCCTTGTCCAAAACATGTCCAAAACCTTTTATTTTCAGTATCCAAATCATGCAATATAGGAAGTTTTATATAGAAAAAGGTCGTTCACAGGGAGGTGGTATACACAGGTACACTCACCCTATAAGGAATTTGACTAACGTCTTCTCTGTAAAAATGCCTTGCGTAACGATGTCTATCTATTTTATTTGGGTGAAGAATTCCAAAAACTCGATCCGGCGGAGACTAAGTATGCAGTTTGTGGTTTAAGTTATTCCAGCTACCCTCCTACCGTCATACCGAAGTAAAACCTTATTTGTATCCAGCACTTGATTTCAGTTCTGTGCGAAATTCAGATTATAATGATATGGAAACTTATATAATATTTGGACGGGATTGAATACACACAATAAACTAAATTAAAGACCAAACTAGGCTAGCTACCTATATTAAGCCAAATCAATTAAATTAGCTAATAGGCTAAATCATATTAGTAGGTATATAAGAAAATACTAAGTATATTACTCAACTTATTTTTCCCGTAGAGGACGGGGAGAATTCCCATGCCTCCCTCAACGATTCGCGGGTCAGATCACATGTTTCAAGAGATACTTTTATCTACCTCCAAGACCCCCGGGTCAGTTTGAATGCTCCAAAACTACCCTCTGACCGCGGATCAATTCGAGCACACGCTCGTGCATGACTTCGCACTTCGTATACCTCATACCTGCAACCTAATTTCAGTATAAAGACTACATAACACATACAACTCAGTGAAGGATTTTCAGTTTTGATATTTACGACTCATATAGACTTTGTAACCCTTTGACCCAGGACTTTGACCCTAAAATCATTTATTTTGAAGCTACCTGAGGCTAATGTGACAATCCATTCAAATTAGTATGTATTTATATTCAAGGTCGCATGGTATCAAACTTGGTATAGACTACGAATATCTAGGTTCGGTATACTGCCTGTCGACGATCTTACTGATGCATGGTGCAATGTAGGCAGGGCTAGAGATATACATGTATGTTAGTAGTCCTGCAATGTAGGTCATCATCCTGCCCTAGTAGGCTAGGCTACAGACATTACTATCTTCTGATTCTAATAAGAAATCAATAAACATTCAAATGAGCAAATCTAAAACAACGGCATAGCCTACATACCAACTTGCAATGCTGATGTAAGCCACATTCCTAAGCACCCTTTTCATGTAAATCTGGTATTTCGGAAAATCTGAAAGCTCATAACTTATAGCTTGTAAACAAGGAATAGCGGAGTGTGCAACGAAATGTTTTATAAGTAGATTCAAGATAGCATCATTTAACAAGCATGTACCTAAACTGCACGTGACCCTTACATAGTTATGGTTAAACTCCAGTCGTAAATTATTTATTTTCAAGTAAGAGCTTAAATAATTTGAGGAATTTAGCTATTTAGTCATTGAACTATAGACTACTTTAATCTGACGTTAAATCGTAATGTAATAATTTATTATATATCACAGACATACAAGGATTTTAATTAGCAAACCCAGCATGAATTAAATAAACTTCTGGTAACAAATCATTTATACATCGTTACACAGTAATATATTATTTGATAATAATGTTATTGCACGATATGGTTTGAAAACATCCTAAAAAACATTTGACAAACAAACACTACTATCATTAGTTCCCAAATACTTTTAAAACACTTATGATAAAACATCTTACACAAACAAAACTGCCTATCATGTGCGTTGGTGACAAAAAGCTTCAACCATTGATAATAAAGTTCAAGGACGCATTACTCACGCTGGTTACTGTCTCATGTAAGCCTATAGCGCCTCCCGCACGGTGCGGCGGCCGGCCCACGCACTAGAACCATAAACCGGGTGTAATGTCAACCGGCCGCGCCGGACCGGCCCGGTTATATTCACAAACAAACCAGAAATCGCGGGAAAATCGGGCGATGATAGAGGGAAGGGCGCGACTGCGACTCGACTGGACGCCGGCAGACTGCGCTGACGTGACGTCACTTCTATCGTCCTTGTCTCGCACGACGTCATCCTCCTCTCCACTCCCCACCGCACCACCCCACACCCGGCCCCCCTCTACCAAGACTGCTGATTACTGCTGCTGCTGCATTTACCCATTTACCCCATCTCTCTCTCTCTCTCTCTCTCTCTGATCTGTCTCTTTACACTGGGCAGGCATACAGAGATAACCACCCGCACCGCATCTGGGCTTCATTAAACTGAAGATATATTGGCAAATTCTATCACATTTTTAAGAAAAGAAGAATACAAACATGATGTAACACAGCTAAATTAAATTCATACTCTATGCCTGACAGTATTGTTCAGATGCAAATTATAACTTTGGCAATGGAGAGCCTATGTGCTATAAAATACTCTCAATGGCCTGAATGTGGAAGGGGTTTTCATAAAACAAGTCATAAATAACGCTGGCTGGAAGAACGCTGATAGAGCAAGTATCCAAATCCTTTAGGTTTTTTTATTTCTTATTTGAATGCACATAAAATACATATTATTATTGAATTAACTACTATTACAGTTAATGTTTTACCAGCTTATAATGAAACATGACATTTTTACAATATGATGAAATCAGACTTGGAAGTCTCAGTAAAATCACAATAAAATACTAGAAATGGAGATCACCTTTTATGAAGTCCCCCCTCTTTAGAAAACCCCATTAGAGAGTTGCTGATGTGCATTTCACTAATTTACATCCATAATTAATTAATTTATCTTTCTATATTTATAAAAGAGGAAGTTTGTAGATATATATATATATATTTGCTCGTTATGGACTCCAAAACGGCTCGACAGATTGTAATGAAACTTTAAGGTATTATTAAGAATTATTCAGAGATAGTTTGTATGAAGTTTGGTGCAGATCCGTCAAGAGGGCTCCGCCCCAGTGGCTCTGGAGTTCCCCATGTTAAACTTATCAGCACTTATATTTAAATGGAATTAAATAATCTTAACAGCTGGTTCAATTAAACAATTTTATTCTGTGATGTTCAATAGCATTAAAAAAGTTAATAAGTCTACCAACTATTAGGGGCTTGAGCTATTAGCTAACTATTAGCTCTCAAAGCTTGAGTATCATCAGAACCATTTGGCCCTCAACCTCCTAGACAACAGTCTACATGTCTACAGACTAAAAAGAGAAAATGTTTTAGACCTTCCGACTCGATTTGTACAGCAGCTCTAAAATTTATTTTCTTTGTTTTTTTTTGTTTTTTTTTTTTTTGTTAGTGCTAAAGCTGTTTAGCGGCTAACTCATGCATTCCAATTTTTATTTTATTGTTTAAAATGCCATCATATTTACTTATTGTTTAATGCAAAACAGATTGTAAATAAAACTATGTTAAAAAAAACATTTTGTTTTCCGTTTTATAATGAGTGACGTAACTAGACAGGGTAGGGGAAGACCTGCAAGACGTGGAAGGAGTGTCCAGGAATTCAACAGACTTAAGAAATGCAAAAGAGAACGTCATGTAGGGTAACTGTGAAAGAAATCCAGAAACTGTTTTACAACCTGTCTTTAGAAGAACGCTGGAAAAGCATGCATTGTGGCGCATTTCACTTCGCAGAGGAGGCCACAAATGGACATTTCAACGCATGTTGCTTCAGCTTCAATGGACATGCTACAACCACATTTCGAACTTCATAAAAAACATAAGGCAATACAACAGTGCAATGGCTATTGCGTCGCTTTCCCCTACACAAAAAGAGATTCCGGGAAATGGGCCTTACTGTCTTAAAATTCAGGGACAAATTCATAGACATATTTCTGACTTACCACCACCAAATGGGGAGTTGCCTCCATAATAATTAATAATCATTTTAACCTTTACATGTGGTTCCCAAAATGGAAACTATAACAGAATTCGTAAGATTACAAAACAAATCTTCAATTTTAAACTAGAAAATAATGTGCAATGTTTGGCTGTATGATTTCAGCTCTGATTCGTCGCTCTCCGGGCTCAGGCCAACCGTGTGCACGGTAATTGATTTAATCATTATTTTACAATTGTAGGCTATTTCATTGACACATTAGAAGCAACTAATATACGACTCCAACGGAAGGAAAACCAAGATATAAAACAAGAAACACTGTTAATTTTAAGTAACATAAAATTGACAATTTTAGAATTATATTTAGAATATTTGTCTTTTTATATGTGGTCTTTTATTGTAGTGTTAGGGGCTATGGTCCCTATAGGCCACTAGTTTTTTTTTTTTTTTTTTTTTTTTATTTATGACAACAGCTAACTTGCAACCAAAAGTGAGTGAGCGAAGTGAACGAACTTCAACCTGGAGGCGAGTTAGCGTAGCGAACGAGCTAAACCTGAATTCACGTGAGCACAGCGAACGAGCTCCAACCTAAAGGTGAGTAGCGTAGCAAACGAACTCCAGGACAAGATTGAATGCTGCGAACGAGCTCATCTTGAAAATGAACGAGCAATTGACATAAAATCCACATTAGGACAGGACAGGACGACGTCTGTCGGGCCAGCTAGTACTTGTAAACAGTAAAATAATGTGACAATAACTAATTTATAAGTCGTTGAATATGGTAGCAAGTTTTGAACCACATCTGTGTGTAATTAGAAAATGTGGGAATAGGTTGAAATTACTTACCATCTAATACTTCTATTAACCAAAGCAGTTGCAAGTCTTCGTTTATGGTCCGTGTAGACAGTGAATCTTCTTCGTTTTGGAGATACATTTAAGTGATCAGCAGAAGTCGAAGGTAGAGCGTCATCTTCGCCCAGGTCACTACTGGAGACTGTGGTAGGTGCAGTTTGTCGATGCATCAAGCCTCTCTTTAGTGATTGAAAGCGGAAAACTGATGAGGAAAATGGTTTGGTAGTCGATGAAGGAAGTTCTTGATTCTTCCAAGACGGTGGATTTTGGAGGATTGAAGACGTGGCTTCAAAAACTTCTCTTGATATTGGAACTGAAGGAACTTTGGGTATTTTTAGGATACTAGATGACACTTTGTGGGTCATGACCTTCGCTACGACATGTGAAGGAGAGGCAGGTCCTGGAGTGAGCAGAACAAGCGAAGGACTGCTGGTAGTGGGGTGGTCCGTGCCATTAGAACTGCTGGTCACTACCAGGTGTCCTGAGCCAGGAACAAACATTTGGACCTGGAACAAACAAATTAAAATGTAAGTGAACATGTTGATAAGAGACTAGGAATGTCGTGGTCAGTGCCATTAGAACTGCTGGTCACTACCAGGTGTCCTGAGCCAGGAACAAACATTTGGACCTGGAACAAACAAATTAAAATGTAAGTGAACATGTTGATAAGAGACTAGGCCTGTCGTGGTCAGTGCCATTAGAACTGCTGGTCACTACCAGGTGTCCTGAGCCAGGAACAAACATTTGGACCTGGAACAAACAAATTAAAATGTAAGTGAACATGTTGATAAGAGACTAGGCCTGTCGTGGTCAGTGCCATTAGAACTGCTGGTCACTACCAGGTGTCCTGAGCCAGGAACAAACATTTGGACCTGGAACAAACAAATTAAAATGTAAGTGAACATGTTGATAAGAGACTAGGAATGTCGTGGTCAGTGCCATTAGAACTGCTGGTCACTACCAGGTGTCCTAAGCCCTGAGCCGCTTTAAGATTTCTAAAACTATGAATCTAACTACATGGAAAACAGATTAACCCCATGATTGTAAAATTACATACTAATATTTTGTATTATATTGGTCGATAAGAGGGAGGAGGGGTAGGAATTGAACGCCCCATAACATTAAATAGACTAAGATCATTGAGGTGATCTTTAAATTGAATTTAGGTATGAATAGTCAAGAAAAAAAAATGTTACGTAGACAAATTTAACTAGTTATGCAAGAATGCACATAGGCTACTCTTACTTAGGTTGTTTATGTGCTAGAATACTCTTTTCCATATAGGGAATAAGCTATTACCGTACAATAGGTCTCATTGAAAGATCTAGACCCGGGACCTATTTAATTTTTGGTTTTGATGCCCCGAGAGAGCAAAAACACCATTCGTAAAAACGATATGTAATTGGTAAATTAAATAATTTGGTTATAATTCATTTCCATTCTAGCTCCTGAGCTGTTATATTCAATGTGATAAATAAATAGGTTTACATACCTACCTTATAATCCGACAAACAGCTCAAATAGTAGGTTGTTTATGTGTTTCAGCTTGTATCCGCCATTGTCAAGACATTGCAGTTGGAAAAAATACTTATCATCGTTTACTAATGTCCATAAACTTTCACACATACATACGCGAACGAATAAAAAATAAATAGGCCTATTACAATAAACACCTGGAGTCTACAAACTGTTATAGTTTGCTTATTTTATTTATGGATATGTGTTGGTAAATGTATACTCGTATGAGTTATACGATACAATTTACATAAAAACTATTTTTTCTTCCCCAAATGGGAATAAATTTAGTCTGCAGGACTGCTGTGGCGGGAGTATTTTGTTAAATTTTGTTGTTTGTTGTTTAAATCGCTTTAATGGTTTTATAGTGAAATTCTGTTTAGTTTTTGTTAAGAATCTGTTTCCATATCACTTCTTGTATTTGCATAAGTAAATGGTTAAACTTTCACCTCATTGTTCTTGTTGATTCTTGTTATGTTTGTTATTGCTATCCTTGTTATTATTGTATAGTGCTATTTTTTCCAATCATTTCATTATTGTTATTATATTTTTATGCAAAACAGTGCAATCTGCCAATGTATATTATTGTATAATGGTGTGTCCGTATGAAATAAATAAATAAATATAAGTTGAATCGGCGATAGTTCATTACTCGCCTCCCGCTCCAAATTCTTGGGTCGCTAGCGGCACGGTAGAAAATTAGTGTGTCGCATCCCGCATCCGGCACGGGTCGCTTCTGGCACGACACCGATAAAAGTGACCACCGCGCGGAGTTGGACTGGACCCTTCGGGGGGCTAAAACTTTTCCTCGTTTCAAATATGACCAC